ACCCCACGACTACATCTGTCGCTCCGGGTACTACAACTATTCCCCCCACGACTACAACTGCGACAATGGCTACCACTACAATGTCCCCTAGCACTATCACGGCAGCTTCCGCAGCCGTCGACATTCTCGGGCTCGACCAAGGCCGAATGACGTGGTTTCATGCGCGAGTACCAGATGTATCTGAGGCAGATCAACGCTGAACAGTGCATTGGATCGCGTCCGTTCGTGATGCCCGTGAGTGCCTGCATGGACCTGTTCTTGAAGCGCCGGATCGCGCTGTACGACTTCAACCACGACTACCATTCCATCACGAACGATGAGTGGGTTGCGTGGTTCAAGTCAGCGTTTGAGGAAGACCCTCAAGATCTGGACGTTTTGAAAGAACGTCTGCAGCGAGCGATTGACTTCGCCACGTAGTTCTTGGACGCGGATTCCCGCGTCGGTCGTATACTTGACGAGTTGATGCGCTCGTTGGAACAAGACCATCAGGAGTGGTTACTCCATCACGAAGGCAAGATGGTCGTCGAAGTCATGACGAAATCGATCAAGCTGGAGTCGCTGAAGACAGCGGTTCAAAAGCAGCTGCAGTTGCAGCGGAACAAGGCGTCGACGTCTTTCGTTTCGTCAACTAGCTGCGAACATTTGCAGCCGGCCACCAGCTGTATGTCGGACTCGACGACGAGTCCAAACCTTCCCCGGCGTCATGGATGCAGACGGTGTCAAAGTTGGGACCGTCTCCCATGGCGTGCCGCATTTGACGTACCCGTATGGCAGAGGCGCCAAACCAGTTCTGATGACGCGCAGCGTCAAGTTCAATTGCGTGACGCTGGACACGACGTGTGGACCGCTTGTGTTGCGTGGTCTGAAGGCCTGGGTTGACGACGCGTCGACTGCAACCGAACTCATCGTGAGTCCCCCAGTCATGGAGTTACTGGGCTTCAGCGTTGAAGGCCTCCTTGTTGGAGCAAGGAAGAAGAAGGAAGAATGGGACGTTTCGTCCGTGCCGACGAATGAACTGTCCGGCATGGCGAATGTCAAGCGCCTGATGGCGGAGAAGTTGAATCCGCCGGAGCTTGACCCCGACAACGGGATCGAGTGTGCTACTCCGGAGTTTTATCCCAAAACCTCCGCCCAGGACGAAGCGGAGCGCCGCCGCACGAAGCAGGGCGTCGTTCAAACCATTCTGACGGCCAAGCAGACGAGGCGGAGACGCGCGACTCGGACAGCCAGATGTACTTCTCGTTCATGACGCCCTTCGGCGTGTACACTCCGACTCGCGTGTTCATGGGACAGACGGACGTTGTCGCGTACTGCCAGTCGGTTGTCCACCAAATCTTTGGTGAACTTCTGTTCAGAGGCCGATTGGCCTGGCTCGATGACTTGCTGGAGTCCGCCAAGACGACGGACGAACTGTTCGACTTGTTGGGCTAAGTCCTGACCATCTGTGCCCAGTTCGGACTCGAGTTGAGCAGTGTCATTTCTTTCTGCGCGAGGCAGAGTGGTGTGGCAAGGTGATTTCGGCCGATGGAATCACCCATTCCCCAAGCCGAATTCAAGGACTCGTGGATTTATCGCCGCCGACGACCGCGGCCGACCACCAGCGGTTTTTGTGTGCCACCAACTGGATGCGTGCGAGCATCCCCGGCTACAATCAGCTGTTGGATCCGTTGCGATGTCTGCTCGACGTGGCCACCAAGGCAGCCGGAAGCTGCAAGAAAACGGCGTTAGTGCGTGTTGCACTCCCTGCCGTGGGATGGTCTTCCGACCATCTCAAGTGTTTCAATGATGTGAAACACGCGTTGGCGCATGTGGTACCCCTGTCGCACCCGCCAGAAGACATGACGGTCTGCGCTGGTGATGTCGACTTTCCCGTACACAATTGAGTGCGTCTCGGGTGACGCGAATGTATGGGGAGACCACCTGAGCCGATGGGGTTCGGCTCCGACGGATCAACCGTTTCGAATGTTCGCAAGTTGATCCATGTGGTGTCGCCCCTGCAACAAGTAGATTTTGAGTGGCCGACAGCCGCTACGATCAGCGGCATCCAACGTTCAACCATGGAAGGGTGAGGGACCCCCCCCAACCGGCGTGGATTGGGACGACGACTCCCATTTTTTCATGGACCCAGATGAACGAATCTGGATCCCAGACGGTGCTGTTGACTTACAGCAGCGGATTTGTGTGATCGCTCACCAAGGGGCCAGCGGTCACCGTCACATCACAGCGACGACCAAGTTGGTGTCCGACAAGTTTGTGTGGACGACGCTTCCCATGGAGGTTGAAGCGTTCGTGCGTGCCTGCTTGCACTGCCTGTGCATTGACGGAGAAATGGTTCCGCGTCCATTGGGTTCGGCGCTTCACGCAGAGAAGCCCAACGAGCTCATCCATTTCGACTGGTTGTCGATGCCCATGGCCAAGTCTGGCCAAAAACAAGTGCTTGTCGTGTAGGATGACATGAGTGGCTTTGTGCAGCTGTTCGCGTCAGAGTCCGCTAACGCCGCCGCGACCGCTCAGTGCCTGATGACGTGGTTTACCACGTTCGGTGTCCGATGGCGGATCTCACTTCAAGAAGGAAGTGATCGAGGAGGTGCAGAAGTTGGTGGGTGCCCATCATCACATCACAACAGCCTACAATCCTTGGGCGAACGGGACTGTAGATCTAGTAAACCGAATAGTGATGCGCGCCGTGAAGGCGCTGCTCAGCGAAATGAAACTGAACGCCGACGAATGGCCGCATGTGTTGCCCCTCGTTCAAGGCGCCCTCAACCATCAGCCGATGGACCGGCTGGGAGGAATTGCGCCTGTGATAGCGTTTACCGGCCTGCCAGCCAAGACCCCGCTGGCAGGATTTGTCCACCCGACGTCCAAGGAAGTTTAAATCGCGGACTGGCTTGGCGCCGCCCGTCAGAAACATGTGACGGACCTCCAAGTGGTGCATGGACGAAGGGCGCTGCGTGCATGGCCAACACCAAGTTTTGGTGAAGTAGCTTGGACTTGACGAAGAAGAATCGTCCTGCGGCGAATTTGCTGGAGGACATTCGAGTCGTATTTCGCAAGTGGGCGGCGGCGAACAAGGACGATCCCGCCGTGGCCGTCCTCATCAAGACACTGGACTTCCGTTGGAGGGGAAGTGTTCTGCAGCGTGCAGAGCAATTGGGTCGCGCGTTAGTTTGACCCATTGCAAACAATCTGTATGTGTGGCGTGTCAAAGATTCCGATACCTTAGTGGAGGTACGGAGTAATTTAGTGAATGGTAGTCAGTAGGCGCCTCGTGGCGTGTTTAACCTCACTAATGTCAGTGTGTATATTTGCTGCCTTGACGAAGGTCCCGTGGCCGAAAGCCAAGAAGAAGCAATAGACAAAACACTATCCCAGATGTGACGTGCGCTACAACGACGCCGACTGTTTGGAGAAGTTTCGATTCTGAAAAATCGACATCCAACGACTGGCCTATGGCCTTGGATTGCCTGAGCAGATTGTGACACGCGAAAGTTCCACGTGCAGCAAAATCGAGGGGCGTTGCATCGTTTTGTTCCAGACCGGTGGTCAGTTCTCATGGACGTGTTTGTACGGTCATGCAGAGGGATGTCGAATATTGTTTTGTATCACTTCGACTCCAATTACGACAACTACAAGACCAAGCTGCTTTTTTCGACAGCAATCCTATTGCCAGCCACCTCACCGAGTATTCAGATGCAATTGCACGTCGTGGGGCTGAGATTGACAACGTGTGGGGTTTCATTGACGAGACAGTGCGTGCTTGCTGTCGCTCGACCGGCGGTACTGAACAACGTGCCATGTACAATGGCCACAAACAGAAGCATGCGATGAAGTTTCAAACAGTGGTGACCCCAATGGCTTGATTTCACATATTTTCGGGTCCTTTGAAGGCCGCTGGCATGCCCTGATACTGTTGCGCATGTCGTCGTTGGAGAATTTCATTGCTTCCGATGAATGGTTCCGTGGATACATTATCTACGGCGACTCAGCTTATGGGCGATCGAACCAACTTGCGTTGCCGATTGCGGCATATCAAACGACAATGGGGCAGAAAAAGATAATGCCAGTATGAGCCGTGTTCACTTCAGTGTGGAATGGTCGTACAGCCAAATCTAGCAATATTGGCCAATGTTGACTCCAACAAAAGGGTTAAATTGGGGTGTGGTCCGGCGTCGAAGTTGTACAAGCTTGCTGTGTTGTTATCTAACTGCGTGACGTGTGCCCGTCAAGCGCAATTGCTGTTCCTCCATGTCGAACTTCAGTCGCTCTATGCGGTATTCATACTTGTCCGCGTGGAGTCTTTTTCGAACTCCCTCAACTCACTAAGCGGGGACTCCCCGTCGTCCTCACTTACGCTGCCAACGGAATCGTGAGTTCGTTTCATGACTGACGTCTCAGCGTCCCTGCACAGCTTGTCACCTTTACTCTCAAGGGCTTCATTCCTTGCAATTTCCTTGACTTGTTTTCGTTTCTTCGTCGTAGTGACTTCGTCAATGCGAATCACAAGGTCCTGCAAAAGCCTTGTAGATAAATGCAGCAAACACTTGGACTACTAGCTTTAACCTCCCATTGGTGAGTCGTAAGCATAATGCGCCGGAGGTAATGTCCATCAAAAGTGTACTTATCAAAGCTCGCGCCATGATCTCGTTCCGCAGACACAAAGACATCTCGATTAAAAGCACGGGTGAGCCCCATGATATCGGCTAAACACCCCCACAGAGCTTCTGGTAGGAGCTCATAGGGGTGAATGGCAGCTCGTACAACAATCAAACTTCTTACCGCTTCCCACATACCACCGGGAAGGTCACTGAGGTGATTAATCAAAAATGAATTGTTGTCGTACCAAGATGCATCATACTCACGACGACACACGCTGGGTGCTAAGCGATTGCGGATTTCGTAAATGCGCTTGATGACCACGGGGTCAGCGAGTGTCTGCTTCTTGTAAATGCAACAATTCAAGCTGGAGAAAAGACAATGCCCATTTCCAGGAACACTGCCGTGCTTGAACACCATGACCCGAATTCGTTCGTATCGGTCACCAAGGTAGAGTAACGTCGAGCTACTCGCTCTGCTTCTTGACTTGAAACAGCGCGCTGTACTCACAAATACCGGTTTCTTGTGGACTGCATGTACTCTCTCAACGCTGTCAAAGTGCTCCGAAAGTTGCACAGAAGGAGGTAGGGCAGAAGGGGGTTGGGCATGATGAGCAGAGGGGGGTTGGATATGCACGTTCCGAATGTCGGCAAACGAACCTTCCGATGCAATGGTACATCATTAGTTGTGTTAAAACGATCGAATTTATTGTGTGTATAGATCAAGCAATGCACAATTGGAGCACAATCACCCTTTCCACACCAGCTACCAGAAAGCAGTTGTACCAGTGCCATTGAAAGTGAAACTCTGCCTCGTCGGGGTCGACGACGACAACCGATCGGACATGTCCGAAACATGGAAGGATGACTATGTCGACATTGACTTTTCGTCCCCCGTGAAGCCGAAGTACAAGCGCAACATAGTGCTCACCCGCGCAGAGGTATATGCGTTGTTTATGCGGACATCTGAGTGTGCATGATTTGTATGGAATTTATGCGATTTCGTAGGCTGTGCGAACTACACTTGAGGATATAAGGCGTACTTGGAACGACTGCGTGCAGCGAACATCCGAACGAAAATACTACTATGTTCGTACTCGCTATATGTGTCGACAGTTACGCAAAGTTCGATACAAGAGATAACGGAAGAACTTTTCGACGTTGCATCTTTGTCCCAGGATGCTTTGTGTACTGCGTCGACATGTGCAAAAACAGGTCACGGTAGACGGGTGCCACCTGAAGGGCATATACAGTAAGTTCGGGGTATTCCTGACTGATAGTATGAAAGACAGGTCCAACAAGAACCTTTGGTGGCATCAGCAATTGTGCCACTGAGAGCGAATGGACATGGTTTCTCCAACAGCTCCAACAGTCGAAGTTAGCCATCGCTGTTTGTTTGTATCCGATCGGTGCAAATGAGTGAACCTATCGTGCTATGTCGCAGATGATAGCTTTCGCGTAACTGACACTATTTATGGCTAACCAATGCCATTCAAATCGACTTTCCTGAGACCTGGCACAGGTTCTCCATGTATCATGTTTTCAACAAAATCTGGGCCAAGAAGGTTGCAGTCACCAACTTGGACAAGACGACATGTTACGGCACATCAGACGCACGTTCTAAGGTTGCGTTCGAATCGTCGATGCTCACGCTCAATTCAACCTGGAAGCGAAGGATGGGTTGAGTACAAGATCAACGATTTGGGGTTTGCGACGTTTGGGACCAAGACATCGAACAAATCGGAAGAAATATTTCGTGGCTTGAGGTTTTGTTGCGTTGCTCTGATCCTATTTCAACGTTTTAACAGTTTCATGTGGAGTTCTATTCATATTGCAGTAACAATAGTTTTCTGTAGCCTCAAGCGAAGTGTGGTGACCCAGGCGACGTTAAAAACATTGGCAAGTAGAAGGTTCGCTACGCGTCGGTGTCATATGTTTCTAGTCGAGACGTGCACGACGTTGACATTCCAGCTTGCTCATGGTCGTGCGGAAGATGGCAGGACGACTTGTTACCTTGCTACCTCGAGTTTGCTGTCACTAAGCAACTTCGTAGGTAGTTTCGTTATGAAATGCATTTCATGGATCTTGTAGTTTTCCCCTTGTTTTACTTGAATGGGTCGCAACAAGAACTATATCGCTGACACATCGATCCGTCGTCACAAGTATGCATAAGTACTTCTTTTCAACCCCACAATCTCTTAAGAAACCTGGTCCGCCCAAGATGAAGCGTTTCAAGTCGCATGGTTTATGTTGACATGAGTACCACTGTCCACCTGCACATTACCCTGAGCGTACTAGAATTTGTGCGAATGCAATCCTCTATTTGACGGAAAAAACATGGAACGTTTTATATCACCTCTATCTTCCGGACAGTTCTCATATTATCCTGCTGAATATCGGAACTCCAAATTCCGAGCGGAATTTGACTTAAGCGAAGTTCGAAGGTGTGAGTAACCCAAAGTTTTGTTTCACGAATTTCGAATTCCAGGTTTGCTAAAGGTCAATAATAGATGTCTAACCTATAGACTGAATGACAGACTAGATACAAAGTATTCTCATCATTCAAACAGAGTGCATTCAAACTGACAAATGCCCCACAGTTCGCCAAAAAAGTACGATGTTTTTGTAATGTAGTGACCCTTTCCAAAAAAAGATTGAGGTATTTCCAATGGTGAACAATATTGAAGAAATACGATTTCTTTCCTAATTGTATTTCTTGGTAAGGTAATTATATGATGTGAGGCGAACTTTAACTAATAAAACTCATTACATTTGACTAAAACTTAGCCAGAATTGCACAAATTCAGTGCACACGCCTATGTGGAACAAAATCCTAAAGTGCACCCATTTTTTATTTCACCAAGTTGCCACGGTGCAAAACCCAGTAGACCTCAGTCAGTACATGACTTTAAGCACGCCTTGCATTATCCTGTAAGATGTAACTAAGTGCCATTTCATTTTTGGTAATGTTCTTGAGATCAGTAACAACAATGAAGTCTACGATCACGCGGTCAATTAATGCGTCCCACTCGCACAATCGAATAACGATGTGGTTGTTGTCTGAGGAGTCTATATCGATTCGTAATGAGGTATTGTGAGGGAATGTTTTCACAACTGTCGTGTTTTGGTCAATTTCGTGTTTCACCAAAGTATATCACCGTCACAGTCATCCACAGTCATGATTTCAATTATCATGAGATTCTGTTCAGGTTCACCCAAAGTTGTACAGTATATACTAACTGTACGTAGGGTTACGGGGTTGTGGTGTTTCGGAGTTTATTTGGCGTTCATCGATACCGGTTACGACATCGTCGTCCAGCAATCGAAAAGTATTTCGTGTAGACTAGTTTGTATACCATACAAATTTCTTGTTATTAGATTAATTCGGCGCAAAACCTCGACTCGGAATTTTTAGTGAAAACTCCCTCCGTGTGGAATGGTCAAGACTCAGGGTCCGGGGTTCTGAAACTCAGTTTCAGTGTCGAACTCAGTGTTGGGATGGGGGTAAATTCAGGGTCAAAATATCATCGACACTGAGTAAAATTCAGTTTCAGGGTCAAACTCCGTGTACGGTGGAGATGCTCTAACCCAGTAACTCGGTTTTCAACCAATAATAGACGTATTTAGCAAGTCTTCACTTTCCACATCATTGAGCGACTGGTGGCGGAATATTTCTGTCCTTGTTCCAAGGTATTCCGCGCTTTTAATTGATTAGTACCCAAATTATCCGGATAACACAATAGATCACGCTTTCCAGAATAACTCAGACATGGTTGCAAGTTTAGAGGCGTAGATGGTCCATCTATGCCTGAGGTAGTCCGTTCATGTCTGGCACTCATTTTCATAAAAAACGAAAAAGTATTCATCGACATTTTCTGTATTGCGAAAATATTTTGTCCGGATACGTCGCGGTTTCGGACATGGACTAAATCTTCCCCGACCAGCCCCTGATAATATACTCGAAGTACTTTGTAAATATTTTCTCACAAATCAGGAATAGAATCATTTGGAATTGACAGATGCTCTAGAAAATAACTCACCAATGAATTCAGGGTTGTGTGATTGAGTGCACACTCAGTTATTTGGCAATCTGTGAGTGATTTTGGAAATCACTCTGTGATATACGAAATCACTTCACGTCATTCGCATATATCAAAGAATAATTGGATTGTACTGTACTATGCGATCCTCGTCCAGAATCATGAGATTTAATACCCCTCTAAAATTGAAAATACAGCTAACACCACAACCAAGGACCGCCGCAGCAACGCCTGGGCAATACACATCAACAGCGCTACCCCATCGACAGATTCGATCCGCGATCGCAAATGGCAAACTCCAAGCTCGGAATGACCCCACTCAGGTACATCTGCTTGACAGCTGACACCGCAAACGACAAAGATAACATCAGCAGTATTGGTATATCTAAGCGCCATCTTAAATTTAGCCCTTCTGCTGATATGCGTGGCGTGTCGATGTATGCGGAAGGCGAAAGTAGAAAGTAGTATTGATTAAGCATTTTGTAATCAATAACAATTGTAACTCAGTCTTTTTATTATTTCAGACACTAAAACACAAAATCACGTAATCTAAAGTAATTTACTCTTAACATTGGTTAATCACTCAGTCATTTCCAAAATAGGTCCAGGCATTGGTCGAAACATCACATTTTCCAATAACACCCAATAAATTGCTAAAAGTTTTTGAAATTAGGTTGTGACGTGGTAATTGGTCAAGAGGTCTATTACGAGATTTCTGACAGTGAAAGTTCTTGTGACCAATCAGTGTTCTTGGAAATCATCGTGTGATTTCCGAAAGTGTGAATGACTGATATATCATTAACCGTACACGAGATGATCGAGGGACCAATCCCATACTCGATCGCTGCAAAATGGCACGGTCATATATTAGTATCCGGATGACTGACTGAAAGTCCATCCAAGAACACATGGATGTACTTGGAATGTAATTGGCCACTGAGTGAGGCTTGATCATTCGTCAAGAGGTAAACCAACTCCTTTGTGGAGACCAAAAAACTGTCTCAACAAATTGTGATCGACTCGACACATATTTTTATTTGAAAAATGTCTCAATTTTAAGTCGACACAAATTGATTTGTGTAGGCCCAATGGTGCATACTAGTAGTTGTTTTCAAAATTGACCATCCTGGACAAGTGGGATATCATGTATTTGAATGCAATTACTTGGATTTTGTATGTGGTGTCTTACAGTAGTACTAATAGTACTTTGGAAGTGATAGGTAATACTAGTAGGATAATACAACTACAGTGATCCCTCAACGTTTGCTCGCTTTTTCAAATATAAATTTTCCAAGTCAGCCTATTGTACAAAGAAACCACGAACATTAACTTTGAAGGGTGACTATCTGCTGGTCAATTAACAGTAAGCAAAAGCTGAAGTGAATGGCCCAAGTTCCGAGGTAGAACCCCCGTATGAGCCCAGCAGTTGCGAATGGTCGTTGATGTGACGCAATTCCAGGCGGAAACCGACCAACGTATTGCCGTGAGCACGTCCACGGCGTACAAGTTTCTTGGTTCGCGACCGGACTCGACGGTAGGATCATCAATGATGTCTAAAACATGATCCATTTGACGACGCTTGTAGTGGCTCTTGAACGCAGCGATGATACCGGCATCCATTGGCTCTCAAATGTCTTTGTGTGTGTAGTTGTCAATATGAGGTGTTGGCTCCTCAATTTTGAATTTTCAAACGATGCATGCATGTCATAAGGCCCTTAGTAAATTAATATTGAATAAAATTTAACGGAGTATAAATTTATACCAGGGAGCAAACGTTGAGGGATCACTGTACTGTATTATTAAAAGTGGCCAATACGTTAGTATATCAGCAAACCTCCGGCAAAATGTGAGCGCACTTAACAAATATTACATTGTAAATCCAATCTTTGGACATAGTCCACGAAGGCGTAGCCTGAGTGATATGAAAGTGAATACTGTCTGCACAACTCAGAGATTCTGTGCCAGTCAATCTTGTTCTAACAATTTGTGGTTTTGTCCAAAGATTGGATTTACAATGTAATCCTTGTTAAGTGCGCTCACATTTTGGCGAAGGTTTGCTGATGTACTCACATATTGGCGACTACCCTGTTATAAGTACAACGTATTAGTAGTTCTATTAATAGTATGGGATAAAGTATGAAGCATCAATCGTTGCAGTCTACCTTCGAAGTGGATGTTAATCAGATAATCTGATATGGGTTAATTGAGTTTGGATTATCAAGATAATCTGATATGGGATAAAGGATGACGGCTTCAATCTTTGTCAACACTTTTCCTGGTGTTTTTATTCACTAATGGATTGTCGAGTTGGATTCCACGCGGATTGGTTTGTCTATGTTCGGACAGCGGACATTTCCTTTTATTTTCTTCCAGAGTATACGCATAGTACTTGTTACTTGTTAGCTTTGCTTGCACTCTCACACAGGCAGATTTTGCTGCAGGCTCAAGCATGCATCGCAGCAGCAGTTAAAATAAATGAATCAGGAGTACAGTACTGTAGCTAACCTGGTACACGTAGTCGCCGATTAAGACGAGAGCTGACATCACTGTAGTCACTTGATAGCCAAATTGGTCATGCCAATGTGCTCACGAAACACACATCACTTGATGGTGGAAACCCTGTACTTGCTTCATTAATTAGTACACCTACAGTAGTAAGACATGGGTACGGAGTATTATCCGGGTTATTCGATTTTATGGAAATTTGAAAATGTCAGGGTGAAAATGATAGTAACATTACTGTACAAACACCGTCGGTGTTGTTTCGAGGGACTAGCTCGTCGAATGTATGGTGGTACATAGGACATTGAGACAGAGTCATGCGATATGATGACCAAGGCTAACACCTGGTTGTGTGCGTTGTTGGACAATGATGTGCGAAGTTTGGAAGGATGTAGCCTTCCTTGGCTTTCATTCCTGGTTTTACCTCGAACTGAGCTCTACCTTTGTGTGCGTGTTCTACCCCCAGCCCCCTCCAACAGCGACCATGCTTGTGCTACTCACTGTCGTCCTTGCCTTCTTGATACCTGCGTCAGGCCAGCGCCCGACAATCGAAGAATGCGCTCGTGCTGGTGGTACTTGTAGCCGCGAGTTCAACCCCATATGCGGTTCGGATGGCGTCACCTACAGCAACCCCTGTCTCTTTCGATTTGCTCAATGCAAAAAACCCAGCCTGACCCTTCATGCCCGTGGGCAGTGCGATGCAACACACCTGAAGCAGGTAGAATGCGCTGGTCCTCGTGTATGTACCCGCGAGCTAGACTTCGTATGCGGCTCAGATGGCGTCAGCTACACCAACCCCTGCTTCTTTCGATTTGCTCAATGCGATAACCCCAAGCTGACCTTACATGCCGGTGGGAAATGCGTGACGAAGGAAGAATGCGCCGGTCCTCGTGTATGTACCCGCGAGCGAGACTATGTGTGCGGCTCGGAT